CCTGTGACTGCTTCAGCAATCAGTGGTAGCTGATGCATGGAGCACATTAGCATCATCCCCAGGGAGCGCCTGTTTTCTGCCGCCTGAGTCACAGATAAGATGCTACACTGACAGCAGAAGTCCGGGCGAGTGAAACACATGCCATCCTGGAGTGGCAGGAAAGCTCTAGTGACTCGGATTTGCTCCTCATGGACATGCCAAGCGAGCAGAGTAATCTTCTCACTGCTTCTTACAGTTGTCACTGAGGAAAAAAAAAAGAACCAGTGCACAAAGGTGGGATGGCAGCAGAGAAAGCAGGCGGCAGAAATCCCAAAATTAAACCAAACTCTTCTGTACCTCACACAGATGGGAGGAAGTTTCTCTGTAAAGTTCCCGCCATCAGAGAAACCCCTTCTGCTCTGCAAAGAAAGCAATTTACCTTTGAGGGGGAGAGGAAATTCAGCAGAGGAGGGATAAAGCAAGATAAATATAAAGCGTGAATCAAAGAGAGAAAAATACAGAAGGTACAAAAGCGGAAAAGCACTGACGGGGGGAAGCTGGGCGAGAGACAAGGAGGAACTGTGAAGTGCTCAAATAAACATTTTACTGCAGCCGCACGTAAATTTTAAGCACTTGAAAACACCGGGGTGACTGGGAAGTAACTGCTTTTGCAAGGAGCAGATTTGTGACCGAGATCACAGGAATCAGCGATGCCCGATCCTCACCGCCAGCAGATGCGCCGCGGTTCTCAGGCGCAGAGAAGGTGACAGTATTTGGTCACCGAGTTTTGAGGTCACCAGTAATGCCCGTGGTGCAACAAAAACACAGAGCATATGGCATTTCATGTGCTGAAACTGTCAGGCTCATAATTAACTGATTAGGGTACATATGGTGCTCACAGACAGTGTAAATCTCTCAATGTAAAAAATGCTGGAGACCATTGAAGGTGTCAGCGTGAGGCTTCCTTGCAAATCTCTCTTCATTAAAGTTTCATATGGAGCCAAGTGCGTTGTAATAAAATCGCTATTAATGGAGTTATATTTATGATGATTTCTCTTTTGTGCAGCTGGATTTAACTTTTCAGACACTAAACTCCACATCAGAGCTTTCTCACAGTAGCTGCTGCACACGCAGAAGCTTCTTGCTTTGTCATATTTACCCTGAAATTAGAAGTCACGGGAGGCAAGGCAGTGACAGTTAACCAAGATTGGCAAGAAAACTGTTAATACCACCGCTATCAAAACAAAAATTCATGCCCTGATATAAACACAGCTACAATTCTGTTTATTCTAAGTATTTATAGCAGGCTGGCCAGGTATAAATGCATTCCCTCTCTGGTTCCAAAACACACTTTTTAAAAGATGGTGAGTGACACTTCATTAACCACCTGCAATGGGCTGGCCCAGCTCTGCCAGCCACCGGGTCAGATGGTGTTTCTCTGTGCATCCCCCCCTGCTTTACAGCCAAGACTCTGTAAAGTCCTTTTTTTGAACCTCTCCAGCCAGATGGACGTTGTGGAGCAAGGGCTCGGGCCAGGGCAAGGAGACCTGGGGAGGACACACAATCATTTTCACTCCCAGAAGAGACTGCCTGTTTCATGTCCACGCATCAGCCATCCAGCTTTTCTCATCAGTCATCAGTGAAGGGGATTTAAAAAGTTCCCCCATCAGCCTTTCTTTGCCTGCCAAGTCCTCTGATGGGACCAGTTCTTACGTAGCAACACGGCGTCTCTGAAGTGACCCGGGATGAAAGAAAGCATCTTTCTGCATTTCAGATCCTCTGACCCAGGCTGTGACATGGAGGCAGCAGCAAAGGCTGGGAAGAAGGGAGTGGAGCACCACTCCATGTACCACCTAAACCCATCCTCCTGGCACCCATTAACAAACCACTCACACACAACCCTCCAGGGCTTACATGCTCCTCTCTCATTCCCCGTGTCCTTTTAAACAGCTTCCCACCTCCATTTAGACATCAAGAAAAGGACTTATCAGAGACCTCATCTCCCAAATGAGTTAAAAGCTGTTGCCTCAGCCCAAAGTCTCCCCAGTCCCATGCTGCTTCCTCCTCTTTCCCACCACGTCATCCCTATCACTTCCTGCCTCTCACACCCCTGCTGCTGGAAGGGATGGGAAAATCTCCAGTTTTATAGTACAGAAAAAAACCCTGTTAAGAACATCAGTTTTTTCCCCTCTATGGCTTGTTCAGAGGTGGGGCTGCTGGTAATAGATGAGGGCAGCCAGAAGGAAAAAGAAAAATATCAAAGAGCTCTCTACTCGGGAGCACAGAAAGAGATTTTGGTAAATTAAGTAGTCGGTAGCATAAAAAAGAAAAAAAAAACCTGTGATAAAACAAGTGAGGGAGAAATAGTGTGAATTTTAAGGTTTATGAAAAAAAGTTGAAAGGCAGAAGCTACAAAATGTAATGCCAGAGGATGCGTTTGCCTTAGAGGCTCTAAGGGCTTTTTTAAAGCCCAAGATGCTGGTGGAGCAGAGCAGTATCTGCATCTCCCAGCACAGATGCTGGGATGCTCAGCCCCACAGTCCTCCCAGCACACGCTGAGCTGCTCCGTGGGCACCACGTGCTTCCCTGCGGTGGGTATCCTTGGTTAACCACTGATCTTACTGGTTTTTCCACACTTTAACCAACTCAGCCTAGCGACAAGGAATAGTGTCAGCCTGGCCTCTCCAGCTGGGCTCCACCACCCCCTCTCTCTGCAGCCCCCCCAGACCTTATCAGGCTCCCATCAGAAAAGTCAGGCACGTATTTGCTTTGCTGCCATGTCCCTGATGCTCTCAGATGGGCTCTTCTCACTCTTCTGTCCTACTCTATAACCTGTCTCCACCAGGACCTGCCCCAACCCTTCTCCCCCGTTGAGATTTAAACGTGTTGAATTCCCTTTTTTTCCCTTCCCTCACTCCCCCAACATTGGAGAGCGTTTCTCCCTCATCTCAGGAAGAACCCAGGCTCCAAGGTGCCTCATCCCTGCTGCCTCCTGTTTGTGAGATGAGTCATGCAGGTGTCAACATCTCGAAAATTTGTACGGGGGCTCAGCAGAGCTGGGAGGGTGCAGAGCATTATGTTAGGAGTTATTAATAGCTGCTATCGACCAGTTCTTTGATCTACAGGCAGTTGATTACAGCTGCTGCTCCAGAAGATGAGACACCAGGAGTCTTGCCTCCACCTCAATTTCCCTCTCCAGTTTTCAGGTTTTTAACAGGGGGAAAAAAAAAAAAAAAAAAAGCTTTCCCCCCAAATTCCAAAAAACATGGGATGCAGCAGCCGACGCTGCAGTCAGAAAGGCAAACACAAACAAGTGAAGCGTAAAATTTTACTTTACAAGGGGAATATCAGGTCTTTGAATCCTGCTTCCAGCAAAGTCTTTGAAAGGCTTAAAGGTTGACATCACACAAAACAAACCTCCAGAGAACACAGCTCCTCTCTGAAATTTTCCATGTAGCCCTTAATCCATATCCATGAAAACAAACTTATAGTTTGTTTTTCTATAAATAAAGGGATGCAGCAATCTGTTCCCACCCTCTTCCATGCTTCCACCTGAAGAAGAAAAGGTCATTTGCTATTGCCCAAAGACGCCACGCACACTTGACCTATTCCATGAAACAATTCCAGGAATCTCCCTCCAACAACCCAGCACCACTGTTGGGAACAACAAAGAAAATAAAGTGATAGGTGGATATTTTACCTTCTGTCACTGTTGTCTAATCCTACCTCTGGTGGTAAGCAATACGGTGAGCAAAAGACAACACAGAGAGGCATTCTGAGCCAGACAAATTCAGGCAAATTTCCATTTCATCTGCTGTTCCCAGCCAATTTCTCTATCAACTCACCCAAAACTTCATAGAATTCCTTTCCTGAGAAACAGGGATGAAGGGGATCTATGCCATGAGAGGGATCTACACCACACAACGCCACTCTGCTCGCTGAGGCTTCAAAGGTCACTGGAGCCAGTGGTGCCTGACTGAAGTCACCACAAACACAAGAAAAGAGCATTTTTAAGGATGCCAGAAGCAAAAAGGAGGTTTGTGCACAGTGGGATGATCCACTCTATGGCTTGAACAGGAACTGAGCAGCATCCATTTCTACAAGCTTTACTCCATTTGAATTATGGCATCTATAAATCTATACGATGGTGGAACTAGATGGGAAGAAAGGAAAACCCGCATATTTAGAGTTATTGTAAAGCCTGTGCAATAAAACTGCCAGGCTTTAAGATCACAGACATATTCTGAATATTTCCACCATGACCATACAGCCTGTTCCTCTATGACAACGTACAACAGCAAAGAGGGAACCACTTGGCAAACGCACGTTAACACTTACCTCATCACAGTCCCAGTTCAGATTACAAGTTTTCAAAAAGAGAACTAAAAATAATAGAAGGATTCCTGCAAGAAATACTTCTATCTTCGGAAAGAATGAGTTTTTTTCTTAGAGAAAACCTAGCAAGAAGCATGTAATAGTTATGGGCATTCTGGGGGGTTCAGGTCCAATGCCAAGTGAAGAACTAACGGCAGACACACACTTTACTTCTTCAACCCTTGGAGTAAAGTGTGGGAGAACAAGGGGTTAAACAAAGACGACAACTTTGACGTGTGCTTTTACAAACACACACTCATTCACCCTGTGCACAGAAAACCCTTGCTACACCCATGATGTAGTGAATCACTTAGACTGGACCACCGAGAAGACACCACACTTGCCCCACTCCATTGTCCCTTTGCACAAACCTGTGCCCCACAGGGACAGTTGTGTTAGGAGCAGCGATGTGGTGGGGTGACAAAGCAGACTCATCACACCCCAAAGATGATTATTCTCAGCTCCCACCAGCTTCAGGCACGGAATAACACCACGTGGGTCTTATTGATCTCGGAATTTTGAAGTCGGAATTTTGCAAATCTCTTTTCTGTGAGGGCAGGTCACATCCCCAGGCAATTCAATCTGAAAGGTCTCAACTCCTTCACCCCCGGGGTGAGAGGGTGAGAGGATTGATGCTTTTTTATTACCTCCAGCTCGGCGTTATGAGCGTGCAGCTTCTGCACCATCTCCTCCGCCTCCCGCATGCGCCGGCTCAGCTGGGGCGAGTGCTCGGCCGGGGTGAGCTCGCTGTCGTACGACTCCAGGATGGCTCGCATCCCGTCCCGCTCCTGTCGGGGAAAACACAAACCAGTTTTAGGGATAAAGCTCCGGATCTCACTCCGAGGAGAGGCTTCCCAGAATGATATTTGACATTTTGGGGACTCTTTGCCAGGAAGGGTAATGATAGGACAAAGGGAAACGGTTTTAAATTGGAAGAAAAAAGATTCAGATCAGATCTCAGGAAGAAATTTTTTACTCTGAGGGTGGTGAGACACTGGAACAGGTTGCCCAGAGAAGCTGTGGCTGCCCCATCCCTGGAGGGGTTCAAGGCCAGGCTGGATGTGGCTTTGAGCAACCTGCTCTGGTGGGAGGTGTCTCTGCCCAGGGCAGGGGGGTTGGAACTAGATGCTCTTTGAGGTCCCTTCCAACCCAAACCATTCTATGATTCTATGATTTTTACCCATTGTTCTTTTCTATGGCAAAGAAACACTGAGGGATGTACACTCAACATCTTCATACCAGCATCACACCACAGACATGAACACACAGGTCTAATAAAATATGTTTTCCTGCTCCGAAAACTGAAAAATTGGACTGTCTTGTGTATATAAAAATCACACATCCCTCGCAGGAAAGCGACAGGCACACACTCTAACAAGCAGATGGCAACTGAAAACAGAGTCTGCCTTCTTTTTGGAGACGTTATTCTCATTCAACATGGCTGAATGGGTTTCTCCAGCAAAATATTTAGCATAGTTCTTGACATTTTTCCTGCCAAAGAGTTCCAGCAATGAAGGAACAGAATTGTCACAACAGAAATGAAACAGATTTGACAACGAACAAAGTGGCTGAGAACAAATATCCTCCAAATGGTATGTGACTTATCACTTGTTAAACGCCGCGACACTTGGTGTTTATAATAAATATTTTTTCAGAGGTTAATATCTCGCAGACAATGCGTTTGGCTCCCTTCACTCTTGGCTGGCAACTGTAACCGAGCATTGGCAGAGAAAGACAAAAAGAAGGATCCTGAGAGTGTTCGTGCTCCCAAGTACAAAGCTTGGCCTGAAAGTTAAAGGTAGAACTTTTTTGGGAGGGTCCCCTGGTTGAAGTATTTCCCGCCGCGTCCCCAACTTCAGACAGCACCTCACACCTCCCTCCGAGGCACTGGCAGAGAGGAAGAATGGGGACAAAAGGCTGAAAATTCCAAAAAGTCAGGTGTGTTTTAAGGAGATTACCATTTGCAGCCCAATATGCACCCAGGGATTAGGCAGCTGAGGAAGTGTTTTAATTTTTGGCTACATGGAAGAGCCTTGATGTTTTGGAGGCTATGGAAGAGGGTCGAAGAGGCAAAGGCCCCTCACATAAAGCCTGAGAGGAAAAACTCCATGGAAACCTTACAGTGCTGCTACCTCATCCTCTCACAGAACATCTCCAGTTCTCTCGGGTGAATTCTGCCCCCGCAAAAATCCAAAATATGAGGAGGAGATGGCTCAGGTTTATAGCTGTGCAGGTCACACCCCGACCAGACCACTGCCACCGCTGAACTGGGAGCCTGAAACGCTTCGCTGGGACCCTGCTTGGGGAAATCATGAATTGGCAGGGTAAGAAAAAAATATCCTTTTCCCTCACATCCCAACAAAACACATATTTCAGAAAGTGAGGGTGATGGTAACCGCTCGAGCCCGTTACAAAGGTTATCTCCTCCTTCAAAATCTAAAGGTCAAAGAGTGAAAGAGTGTGTGTGTGTGGAGAAGGGAAGGAACATTGAAGGTGTGAGAAGACGACGAGGGGCACTGCCAGAGGGGCAGTGTGTGAGCAGAGCACAGCTCAGATTGAAAGGTCAGCCAAGAGGGTGGGCTTGCTCAGCAGGTAAAGGACCTCCAGACCAAAGCACAGCCCCAGACTGAAGGAACAGGGATAATCAAATAATAGAGAAAACCACAGGTTTTAACATAAATAGTACTAGAAGGTGTTACTAGCTCCTTGCTGAGGTCTGGGTGAAGAGAAATACTTTTCCAAGGAAAGAACGGGTTTGTCATAATTTAGAAGGAATTTTTTGCTTGACAGGTATATGAAAAGAAATACTTCCATGTTATGGCACAAGGATAAACCCAGACCCAGCAACACCACAGCAAAACCACACCGGCTTTGTAACAAACTGGTTTAGCAGAATGGCAGCAGTACGGAGCTGCTCCATCATCATCCTCCCCCTTGGCACAGGCATCACCCATCTGCCCAGTGCACCCTCCGTGAGACAGGGCTGCCTTTGCCCAGGGAATGACTTTCATTCCCCTTTTATTGAAGAATCATCATCCAGAGCACAGAAGAGAACGTTTAGCAAAGGGATTGGTTTCATCCTCATGTGTTGTTGAAATTAGACCTGCAATTACAGCATCCTCTTCCTCTGTCCTCCTAACTGCTCTACTACCCTCATTTTCTACTGAGCATCTTTCATTGATGTGATCATTTCCCACCACAACATTCCCTCCGTTATGGCAGGGCAGTCCCAAAATCCTCAGTGTTTTATCCAACAGCAAACAGGACCCCCAGCAATTCCCACTTTCTACTGAGCATCTTTCATTGATGTGATCTCATTTTGTACTGAGCACCTTTCATTGACATGATCATTTCCCACCACAACATTCCCTCTGTTATGGCAGGGCAGTCCCAAAATCCTCAGTGTTTTTTCCAACAGCAAACAGGACCCCTGGCAATTCCCATCACACTTGGCTTCCAATTAACTGCTGAATATTAGGTCACTCAAATCGTCCCCGGCAAGATCCCAGCCCTTCCCTGGGCTGTTGGGCTGTGAGGAGGACAAACTTCAACTTTCAGGTTAGGATGGGAAAATTGCACAGGAGCAGGACATCCCCTCAGGCTGTCTCTCCCCTAAAATCAACTACAGACCTTGCCCTTCAAAGCCCTTCTCTTAAAGGAAGGGTAAACTTCTCAAGGAAAAAAAAAAAACCAACACATGGACCATAAATAAAACACAAGCTGTATGCAGGGGGGGAAAAGGAAGGGTAAACTTCTCAAGGAAAAAAAAAAACAACACATGGACCATAAATACAACACAAGCTGTACTGGGGGGGAAAAAAGTGCTGAAAAGCTGAAATAAAGGGTGGTACAATTAAACACTTGATGCTGGAGTTTAGTTCTCCTCTATAATTATTTCTCAACGTTAATACTGTAATGAAATCAAATCTCAGCTTCCAGCAAGCGGTCCCCAGCTCCATTTTTTCAAATTCCTCCCCATCAAGAGCACTTACTGAAAGCTTTTCCCTCCCTCCTAAAGATCTTGTTAGTTTGGCAGGAAACAGAAGTTCTTGTCGAGAAGATCTCCGTCTAAAAAGATTCTCTAAAATGTAATACTAATTTAGTAATTGCTGCAGTATCTCCTCATCCCACTCAACAGGATATTCCCCAAACCCCATCAAAAACCTCCCCAGGGATTTTCACGTGCCCTCTGCAACCTTCTTCCAACACCTCTGCTTTCCTGCTTTCTATCAGGAGACAAATCATCAGAATTACTTAAAAGTGATCCCTCTGGGAATTTCCAACATTTTCCCAGCACAGGGAACCTCTGCAAACTCCCCGGGGACCTCACACCCCCATTTCCAGGCACCCTCTACCTTGACCAGCTTCAAATCAGCACCAGAACAGAAATGAGCTTACTCTAAACATGTCCAAAAAGCAGAATATTTGGGTTTGATGCTCATTATAAGCCTAGGAAATTAATGCCCCACAGCAAACTCTGGTGTTTGAGGAGATGCAAGTTTAAAAAGAGGAAGGATAGTTATTTTTTCTTCAAAGGTTGAATGGTTTTTCCTTCCTTCTGCCAGCACCAGCCAACGCGCCAAAAGAACATGCCTCCCGCTGTCGCCTAAGTAACTAAAAGGAAAACCACAAACCAGAGCTAATCCCATGAAAATGACTCCCAGCTGTGTATTGGAAACAACTGAAGAGTAAATATATATAGCCAAAAGAATTAAAAAAGCCATCAGACATGTATATACATACATCTAAACCCAGGCCCTGCTGCTGCTCGTTAGCCCCTCCTCAAACATCCACACACACAATTCACCACGGGCTTTCTAATTAGTTGAAGAAAAGAAAAAATCAATAAGAAAGAAATTAAAGTTACAAATCTAACTGAAGTCAGTCACACACCCAGGGAAAATTTGTTCCTGGGGTAAAGTTTATCTAGTGTCATAATTTTATTGAAATCCTATATCTTCCTATTGACTTTTATCGTTTCAAGCTGGATGCCAGAGTTATCATTATTAGAGTCTCCGTGTTGCTCGCAGGGCCCAGGTTTGGTTGGTTGTTGTTTTTTTTTTTTTTCCTTTTATAAACAAGCTGTAATTGTCTGGTTTATTGATCAATAAATCTTTCAGCTGCCTCTCTTCACCCGGCTTCTGTTCTGGTAAGTCTCTTACACCGTTCTCTGAAAGAAAATATGGGTTTGTTTTTTTGTTTTTCTTTTTTAAAGAACAGATTGTTTTGTCATTAACAATGAAAGAGCAGGAATCGTGCCGGTCCCTTCCCATAATGGCTTTTTAATGACAGATTCTTGTCACAGTGAAATCTGCTTTATTTCCACGCCAATGAACTTCAACTATTAATCCCCAACCCAAAGGCAGGGCTCGCTCGCTCCCTCCCTTCTGCGCGGGGTAGAGCCTGGCAGAGGAGACAGACTTCCTCAAGTGGAATTATAATGATATTTCCCACTCGGTGCTTTCTTGATGGCACAGAAATATTCCTGTTCTTAGCATTAGATGAGTGTTGGTTTTTTTTTTTTTTTTAATTAATGATAATTTTTGGAGAATGTTAATAGACTGCTTCATTATAGGAAATCAGTGGCAAGATTTGCCCCTCCTCTTCCTCTCCAGACTCCTAACTCCAAATTAGTTGTAATAAGAGAAAATTTCAAGACTGAAGAAAGAATACGGAGCTTCAACATCAAACAGATGCTATTTGCAATCAGGTGTAATTTAGCTAACTATTCCTTGTAAAAACACAAATAAAAGAGAAAGATGGCTGCGTAAGAGAGGTCTATGCTTTC